CCTCCGTGCGGTTCTGTCGGGGCTGGCGCCCTCGAGAGCCTCGGGCCCCCGTGCCGTCGCCAGTATCGGCACATGTGTTGCGCACTGTGATGTCGGACGTGTGGGGCGTTCGTCTTGGGCTCCTGCTGGTGGCCCGCGCCTCAGCGGGAAGGCTGGCGTGAAGACGGCCCTGGCGATCAGGAGGGCCTGCGTATGCAAAAGACGATGTATATGTGCGTATATAACCGAATACCTTCGAGAATAAACACTAGGGGATAATAAAGTTCGGGGTTCAGGGGGAGATAATCAAAGTAGCCCACCAGACCTCAGCATAATCTCGAAGTAAGAGATGATCAAGAGGAGACCAAGCCGAGCACGTTTTGAGACATCCTTGGCGTTTAGTCTTCATAGAAATATCCTCAACAATGGCTTATCTCGCTGGAGACATCCTCGACAAATCCCTTGTTTCGCTTGAGACATCCACAAACTATTGCTTATTTCGCTTGAGACACCGTCAAACTATTGCTTATTTCGCTTAAGAAACGTATCGTTTCGCTTGAGACATCCTTCAGTATATGCTTGTTTCGCTTGAGACATCCTCGAGTATATGCTTGTTTCGCTTGAGACATCCTCGGAATAGCTCATCCGCCTCGGTGTCCCTGGATAATCAACCGCGGCGATAATAAAGTTCAGGCGGGCGGAGGAATGGAGAAAGCGATATACAAAAACAAAAATAAAAATAAACACTAAGAAATGAAAAATAAAAAAGGAAAAACAATCAAAAATACAAGAAAACAGAGGAGGAGGAGAAAGAGAAGGAAAAAACTCAAGTTCAAATGTATTAGAATTTATTTGCAAGCGCTTTATGAAAATTAGAAATTGTTTAAGTGCTCGCGTAGGTCAGCTCATGTGCTTCATTTTCCATGGATAATCAACCCCAGGGATAAAAAAGTTCAGAGGGGGGGGGGGCATGGAGAGAGAGAGAGAGAGAGAGAAAGAGAGATACATCATAAAGAAAAAGAAAGGAAGGATTTAAAGAGAGAAACTATATTTAAAAAGAAAAGTAGAATAATAAATGAAAAGGATAAAGAGAAGAGGAAATGATGATAAAACACAAATTCTGAAGATTCAAATACATTAAATTTTATTTACAAGCGCTTTATGAACACCAAACTTTTTAAGTGCTCGTGTAGGGTAGCTCACGTGCCTCGTTTTCCCTGGATAATCAACCCCAGCGATAAACAAGTTCAGGGCGCCAGGGGGAGGAGGAGGAGAAAGAGATAGAGAAACAGAGAGAGAAAGAGAGAGAGGCCAGGAAGGAGAAAGAGATAGAGAGACAGAGAGAGAGAGAGAAAGAGAGACAGAGAAAGAAAGAAAGAGAGACAGAAAGAACTACAAAGAGACGGAAGGACATTGGTTTCGCTTGAGACATCCTGAAACAAAGTGTTCGCTTCGCTTGATGTTGTTGTTATCTCAACATAAGAAGGAAGTAACTTCGATGGCGAACTTGTGATAATGAAGTTCGGCCTCCGCGCCCCCGCGCCCCCGACCAAACTCTTATTGGTCGACGATAAAAAAAAACTCTAACGACTTAAGGGGGGGGGTACTTTATTCTCATTGGCATGCGGTTATAGATGCGTTTGTATGTACGTATAGATGTCAATGCATTGTAGATGTACATGTAGATGCATCTGCAGATGCGTGTGTATGCACATGTGTATGTATATGGATGTGTGGTGTCTGTTTGTATCTAGATGTATACGAGTATGTGAAAATATCTGCACATGTATTTGTGTATGTATGGTTACATGGTTGTGCATATGATTTCATACATGCATTTTTGTTGATTGTGCTGGCCTCTGGCCAGTGCCGCCGACCCGGGGCGCTCCGGATAATGATGATGATGATGATGATGATGATGATGATGATGATGATGATGATTGTGATTTTTGATGATGGTGATGATGATGATTATGATGATGTTTATCATGGTAACGGCCATTATGTAGAGCATGAAGATAGTGATGGCGACGGGGAGCATCAGGATTGTGATGCTGGTGATGGTGATGGTGGTTGTCATGATGATAGCGGTGTGCCCGCAATGATGCTGGTAATGATATCGGTGGTGTTGATGTTGATGATGTGAATTCTCAGGGTAATTACTGAGGGTGGTGCAGTTGGTGAGGACGGCGATGGTGATGATGATTTTGTTGATGCTGATGCTGTTGATGATGATGATGTTGATGTTGATGCTGATGATGATGATGATGATGATGATGATGGTGGTGATGGTGATGGTGATGGTGATGGTGATGGTGGTGATGATGATGATGATGATGATGATGATGATGATGATACTGATGATACTGATGATGTTGACCATGGTGGTGGTGTTGGGGATGTTGATGACGAATGGTGGTGGTGGTGGCGACGTTGACCACACACAGATTGAACAATTCAGAGGAAACGAATATTTTTTGCCTCTCGGAGCACTCTTGGGAAGGCTCGGGGGGCTCTTATGTCTCGAACGCTCCTCGGGCCGTCTTGGGACCAGCTTGGGCGTCTTGGACTGATCGTTCGGTGATTCGGGATTTTCTGGGGCCGTCTTGAGGGCCTCTTTGGGCCCTGTTGGCCCGTCTTGGGCCTCTCTTGGGCTCGAACAAGTCATGCGGGAACATTCTAGTGGCCCCAGAGGGCGCGCGGGGAGCCTCAAGAGATTTGAGAGCTTCGGGTCCGGGCCCATAAAGAATCCCCAGGCTTGAGGACTGAGGCTCAGGGGATAGAGCAAGGGACCCGGGGAAGCCTCTTGGGGGTCGTTTTGGGGCCTCTTTCGGGCCTCTTGGGAGCCTTCTGGGGCATCCTGGGGGCTTCTTGGAGGCCTTTTGGGGCTGCTTGGATTGGGCACTTGGGCCTCTCCTGGGGCTGTCTTGGAGCCCTCTTGGGCCGGCTTGGGCGCTTCTTGGGCCGTCTTGGCGCCCTCTCAGGCCTTTTTGGGGTCGTCTTAGGAGCCTCTTGAGCCGTCTTGACGCGGTTTCGGGGGCTTCTGGGACCGTCGGCAACGTCGTGAAGGCCGAAATGTCCCATAAGGTAAAAATGTACGTTTCCCATAGGAATTGGACGATTTGGACCTCGTGGGGTCCTTCTCGCAGGCGGTCGGATACCTATCGGGGCGTCTTGCAGGCGTCTTGCGAGCACGACATGCGTCGGGAATGGCGTTTGGAATGGAGTCGACCCCCCCTCGCAATCGTCAGAGCGTCGGAGCGGCGTCGGGAATGGTGTGTGCCCCCCCTCCGAGCGCTAAATGCGTCGGGAATGGCGTCCCATCCCCCCCCTCTCCCCAGAGGTGTCGGCCCCCCATGGTGTGGGCCCCCCGCCCCCGAGCACCAAATGCGTCGGGAACGGCGTCCCCCCCTCCCCTTAATGGTGTGGCCCCCCCCGCCCCCGAGCACTAAATGCGTCGGGAATGGCGTCCCCCCTCCCCCCCCTTGCAGAGCGAAGCTTGAGCGAGCTCAAGTCCACGCTCTCAGAAACTCACACGCCGGATCGGCGCATTTGTGGATGCAGATGTGGATCGAAATCTTTCTGTATGTGTGAATGTGTATGTACATGTATTTGTATATGTGTGTATGTGTCTATGTTTAGGTATATGTGCATGAATCTGCATGTGTGTATGAATGCGTATTTGCATATGTATATGCATATGTCGCTGTATGTGTACGCTTAAGTGTATTCGGCATGCATGTACATATGCGCCGATCTGGCGTGTGAGTTTCTGAGAGCGTGGACTTGAGTTCGCTCATGCTTCGCTCTGCAAAGGGGGGGTGGACGCCATTCCCGACGCATTTAGTGCTCGGGGGCGGGGGGGCCCACAGGCCCCCAAGAAGCCCCCAGGAGGCTCTGGAAGGGGGGGGATGTCATTCACGACGCATTTAGTGCTCGGGGGCGGGGGGGCCCACAGGCCCACAAGAAGCTCGCAGGAGGCCCCGGGATGCCCCCAAGAGGCCCGAAAGAGGCCCCAAGGGGGCCCAAAACGACCCCCAAGAGGCTTCCCCAGGTCCCTTGCTCTATCCCCTGAGCCTCAGTCCTGAAGCCTGAGGATTCTTTATGGGCCCGGACCCGAAGCTCTCAAATCTCTTGAGGCTTCTCGCGCGCCCTCTGGGGCCCCCAGAATGTTCCCGCATGGCTTGTTCGAGCCCAAGAGAGGCCCAAGACGGGCCAACAGGGCCCAAGAGGCCCTCAAGACGGCCCAAGAAAATCCCGAATCACGGAACGATCGGTCCAAGACGCCCAAGATGGCTCCATGGCCATTACCATGATCCTCATGATAGAAACCGTCATCATTATCATCATCATCTTCAGTATTCCGAGCGCCCCAGATCGGCGGCATTGACTAGCTGGAGTCCAGCACAACATATATAAATGTATGTATTCATATATGTAGATATCTATGGTGTATGCGCATATGTTTATATAGTTGTGTATGTATGTATGTATGTATGTATGTATGTATATATGTATGTATGTATGTATGTATGTATGTATGAATGTATGAATGTATGTATGTATGTATGTATGTATGGATGTGTATGCGTATGTGCATGTGTATGATTAGATGTAGATGTAGCTGTATACGTCGATGTACCTGCATAGGTATATAGTTATGTACATGTATGTGTATACGGGATTGCTTATGTGTATGTATTGATGATTCCACACATGTGTACTTATGAACATGTACAGGTACATGCCCATGTATATGTATATGCTCGTGTGCATGCATGTGAAAATGCATATGCAGGTGCATGTGCACTTTCATATGCATATGCAGATGTTGCATTTCAGAAATGGTATGGGTTTGTTGACTATGAAGGGGTTTGGAAACCAGCACCGTCTTGAAACCGCTCCTGGAGGATCTCAAGACGACGCAAGCAGGGCCCCGAAGGGCTCCCGAGGGCCGTGTTCTGGTCGGTCGGGGTTGCATTTGCGTTGCCGTTCTCCGATCCCGCCGCGGCTTGGCGCAGGAAGCGACGCTGCAGCTCTTCGAGGCGGCGGCCAGGTGCTGGGGGAGACCGACGACGACGACGGGGTGAGGACGAGGACAGAAGCGTAGGACATTCGTTGTTCGCCATGTGCTTTCCTCTGCCGTCCTCCGCTCCTCCCTCGCGTTGGAGGCGACTCGCGGAGAAACGATTGGCAAGGAGGAAATGCGGATACCACGGAGTGCGCAGGTTTCTGCAGCGGACTCGCTTGCAGGAGGAGTGTCCCCACGGTAGGTGGTCGTGATGAGCTCGCGGAGACCGTGCGAGTGGATCTCCGCAGCGTTGGCGATTGTGGACGAGACAGGTGAGATCATGTCACCTGTTTCGTCCATAATCGCCGACGCTGCTCGTTGCTGCTTGTGTGCGGTGTGCCCTTTCAGGCAGGCTGCCCTTTGGCTCCGCCCATCGCCGTGCCCTCCATGCTGGTGAAGGTCTTTGCCAGCAGCTCGCGGCACTCAGCCCCCCAGCCTCTTGAGGATCGGGTGGCCGTGGAGCTCTCCGCCCAAGCCGCCCGCTCGCCCTGGAGACGGTCACCGACAAAGCTCGCTCCTTGACACTTCAAGCGCCTTCCTACTTCAAGAATCGGCACGCTTTTGCTGTGTTTTGTTACTCCCTAAGGGGGGCCTGGACCCAATCAACTTAATCCGCCTTCCTACTTCATGTTTTTACCTACTTCTTCCGACCGACGTGTAGTCCGAAAGGGGGTCCCAGGAAAGAGGCCCCCACGTTGGGGAGCCGCCCTGGCATGCCTCGCGCTGTGAAGAAAAATACGGCCAGGGGTGTTTTGGGCCACGCTCCGGCCTCCCGAGGCCCGCTTCACGTCCCCTGGGGACCGTGAGAGAACGACCGGGGAGGAGAATTAATCCCGGGAACGCCATCGTTTTCTTATTCATTGCTCGGGGGCGGCAAGGAGGGGGGTGATGACTAGGGGGGGGGGATATCATGGCGGGGGCCACCCCACTTCGCAGCGAAGCGAGAAGAGCTCATGCCCGCGAAGTGGGCGCAGGGAAGGCTTGGAGGCCGGTGAACCCGACCCATTTTTCATCAATTTGTGGCTCCCAAGCCCCGATCAGATTCAAGGGACCCTCTGGGAAGGCGTGGTTATTACTTTGGCCCAGAAGGGGCCTATGGAAAAGAGATTGTTCACGAAGAATGAGTCCATATATTCGGATGGTTCCTGCTTTGGAGAGAAGTATGAGATGGTGGCCCGAGCGGGCTGGACGGTGGTTTCGGTGAGCGAGGAGAGGTTTTTCAGTTTGCAGTATACGGTAATGTTCCAGGCTTCCTGCCGCAGTCAGCGGTCTTTGGCGAGTGCTACGGACTGCTGCAGGCCCTCCTCCACCTCTCTCGGAACCCAGACGGCACCCCCAGCTCCTCCCACATCATCCACGTCGAATGTAAGAGCCTGCTGTCTGTCCAGGACGTGTACCAGGCCACCTCAGGTCGAAGCCCGCCCGCAGAAGTCTCGCGGTCGCTTTTGTTTTTCCGCATGAGCATTCAGAGTGGGCGTTCCTGAAGGCCAAGAGTCACGTCGTTGAACTGCTCAGCGGCGTTGCTCGAAGGCATCAAACAGATAATGACAAGGCAGACGAATTTGCAAGATACGGCGCAAAGATGCATCCAGGGGTCCTTGAGAACATTCGGATCGAGGTGATGCTGGATGGGTGGAGTGAGGTGGCAGTAGGTATGGCTCACATGTTTGAGGATGTCCCGAGAGCCCAGGAGCTCTTCGGGAAGTTAGATAGCACAATCGTTGAGGTAGTGGAACCCCTCAGAGCACCCAGCATAGTTGAACGCAGAGTGCTCTGGAACGGCTGTCGCTGGCGGTGCGTCAGGTGTGCCAAGTGTTTTGCTTCTAAGCAGCCGAAAGGAAGACGCGCGGCTTTGACTGAATCTCTGCTCAAGATAAGAGATACGGTCATATCGCCGCCGCACAGTTTGTACGGTTGTCGTGCGATCGAGACGGGGCTGCCTATAGTTATTTCTGTGTATGAGATGCGGGGCCTACACCCCTGGGGAACCTGGAGCTCTGGAGGCCCCGCGCAACAAAGTTTATGTGGGGCAGCGTCGTGGCAGGCTCCCGTGGCCAAACGGCCAACATGTCTCGAATCCTTGGCTTCTGGAGCATTCCGAGGATGGGGGTAAATGGTGGGCCAGGTTGAAACACGTTTAACCGTGTTATTATTTTTCTCTGCGTGCTCGCCCCGCCGCTGTGGGGTGGGCGGTGGACTTGGCCATTGCCTGCGGGTGGTGGCTGGGGGCAGCCGGGCACTTGGGCCTCTGCCCTGCGCGTGCATGGCGGTCCTGGCCTTCGGGCTCCGCCCTACAGGTGTGGGGTAAACGTGGTCGGTGGTGTTTGGGGGCCCTCCGTGCACCCCCTTTCGATCCTGGATTGGTGGGAGCCAAGAGAGTCACTGCGAGGAGGGCATTTTGCATCGTCTCGGGATTTTAGGGGGGGGGGGGGGGGCGCCGCCCACCCGTTTGCACGGCTTGGCGAGGGTTTCCAGGGAGGCCCGGGAGCCCCGCGGGGCCGTGCGATGGGGGCGCCCCGGAACCGCGGGCGCCGGGGATGCCGCTCTGGGGGGTCCGCAGGGCTCCATCTGATCAGATGATGGAGAAGGGATTATGTGCATGTTTGTATGAGTATACTTGCGCATTGTCCCAGATGTGTGCGTATATATATATATACACACAAACGTGCAAGCGCATCGGGCGAACGCGGTGTCAGCAGACACCAGGGATATCAGAAAAATGAGCCGGTCGCCCGTCCAGGTTGCGAGCCCCCCCCCGCTGAAGCGAACGATGATTTATTGCTTTGCCAGGGTCCGGAACAAAGCGCGTGGCGCGAAACGCCAATGCAGTCTCGTATCTGTAAATATGTCTGTATACACACATGTACACATGAACACGTGTATCATCAAGGCGCGTGTCCTCAATATCGAGGGTTTGGCGTGCACATGTCGACTAGCACGCGAGCAGCGACGAACGAAATCCTGCAATGGTTGTTGCGACTGTACCCTATCCGGTGAGGTCGTTGACCGCACCGTCTGGCGCGCATGTTGCGTTGCTGCGTTTGTGCTTTTCAGTCAGGTTCCCCACTCTTGGCGCGCCCCTGGCTTACTATACGGGAGAGCCTTGGGCCTCAAACTGACTTTGTTGGCCCTTGAACTACCACAACAGTGGCTCCCGCCTGATGCCTTCTCGCCGTTTAAAAGGAGACGTGCTTTCGCTAGAGACCTTCTCGCGGTTTACTCAGGAATCGCGCTCCAGGGTTTGGGAATAGGCGCTTCGTTGCGTTCTCGACGTCAGGGAATCGCTTTCTCGCACGAGATTGCCTCACAATGTCGATATGCCGTCGTGCTCTCGCCTTGGGCTCCTCCGCGCTGTGCGAGGTTCGCTCCGATGCCCCGACCGCCCGCAGAGGCCTGCCCGCCCGACCCGCCCGCTAGGGTCCGTACGCCTGACCCGCCCGTTGGGGTCCGCCCGTCCGTTCTTCCCGTCGGGGCCCGCCCGCCCGACCCCGACCTTCCCCCCCCCAAATCCCCCGCCCGCCCGCCCCGCCCGGTAGGGCCCGCGCGTTCTCTCGCTTGGAGGCCCGCCCGCCCGCCTTCGTGTCCCGCCCGCCCGGCCCGCTCGTGATAGGTCTCCGTCCCCCCGAGCCGCTCGTCAGGGTCGGCCCGCCCGACCCACCTGTCTTCGGGGGCGGCCGAGAGGGGGGTGACGACTAGGGTTGCGGAAGTCGATCAATGGAGAGGAAGCGTGTTGCCAAATAGTTTCCATATGCTGTAAACATGTTTCAAACATGGTTGAACATGTAAGAAACATGTTTAGAACATGTTTACTTTTCTCAACGCTCAATTCAATGATCGCACTGTTAGAGTGTCCATGGTCATGGCATCCACAAAACTAGAAACAAAGGATATCATAACGTGGGCCATAATATTTCCCCAGATTTAATGGCGCCTCGTCTTATGTCCTTACGTCCCTGGTCCCCCCTTCGGCCGCGCACATGCCGCCGGCCATGATTTGCGCCCCCCCTTTGGGACGCCCCCCTCTTGGCCGCCCCCGATATCCTGCCCGACCCGGTTGTGTTATTTAATCGCTTCGCTCATTCCGCCGGCCCATAATGTCGCACCGTGGTCGCCTGTTCGAGTGGTCGTTGACAGTGTGGAGCTGCGGCGTCGGGAGCCGAACGCGGGGGAGGAGGACCACCCCGACCCGCGTTTCCCAAGTCGCGTCTGGCTGGAGTCTTGGAGGCGTCCTGGGGGCCTCCTGAGGGTTTTTTGGAGGCCTCCAAAGGGCCTTTTGGAGGCCTCTTGAGGCCTCTTGAGGGCCTCTTGGGGGCCTCGGGGGGCCTTCGGGGCGTCTTGGGGCCTCCCGGGAGCCTCTAAGGGCCGAGAGCTCGAAATTCTGTTTCGTGAACCCCCTCTTGGGGCGTTCTTGAAGCGTTCTTGGGGCCCTCTTGGGCTGTCTTGGAGGCTTCTTGGGCCGTCTTCGAGCCCTCTTGGGCCATCTTGGGGCCCTCTTGGAGGCCTCTGGGGCCCTCTTGGGGCGATCTTGGGGGCCTCTTGGGCCGTCTTGGGGCGTCGGGAAGCCGAAAAGGTGGAAACTCCAACATCTCTCAAAAACCTAAGGAAAAGCAATGAATTTTGCCTCCTGGGGCCCTCTTGGGAGTGCTCTTGGAGGCCTCTTGGGGCGTTTGGGGGCTATCTTGTGCGTCTTGGAGCGATCTTGTGGGATGTCGGACCCCTCGTGTACCATCTTGCGGGCCTCTTGGGGGCCTCTTGGCCTTTCTTGGGGCTCTCGGGGACGTCTCGGAGCCCTGTTGGTGCGCTCCTGGAGCGCTCTGGGGGAGTCTCCCGGGGATCGGTCGGGGATCGCCCGGGGTACTTTTCGTCCGGGGACCCCCAGGGGCCGCCCCGCGCGCGCGAACTAGAGAATTGTTAACCAGTTACCGGAGATCTTAGCACGCCTCTGGCCCGTTGGGCCGGCGAATTTCTTCGGGTCTTCACCCAGGAGATGGCACGAAAAACAGTGACCCCTCCCCCACAGGGCATGCGTTCGTAGTCGAAGGAATTTGGCGTCGTGATTATGTTTTGGGTAGACGTGTTAACGGCGTGAGCAACGAACAACGATCAGTTTGTTGCATGTTGTTGTCAGTCCTCAGAGCATCGAGCAATGCATCAAGCAACATGTTCGGAGGTCCGCACGGGTTTCTTGAGGCGGCGCTGGGCCCGCCCAGCGGCGCCTGTGGCGTCGCCCCTGCCACACTCCGTGCGGCAGGGGAGGGGCCCAGCGCCGACCCGAGGCAGTTCGCGCGGACCTCCGAAAGCCTCTGCCCGTGCCGTGTGTTGTCTCCAAGGGCTCCCTCGAGGGCGCGAAGTCATCCGCGCTCCGCGCTCCGCGCTCCTCGGTCCTCCTCCCCCTCTTTTTCTTAGCCAGGCCGCCAAGCGCGCACGCTGAGGCGTCAGCCTTCTCCCTCCTCCTCCTCGTCCTCCTATTCTCGTCCTCCTATTCTCGTCCTCCTATTCTCTCCCTCTCCCTCCTCCTCCTCGTCCTCCTCCTCCTCGTCCTCCTCCTCCTTCTCCCCCTCCTCCTCGTCCTCCTGTTCTCCCTCTGGCAGGGCGGCGCGAGCGCGCGAAGCTCTTCGCGCGAAGCGCTTCGGAGCCCCAGGGGGTTGTTGTTGTTGTTTCGGGGGTGGGCGGGGCCTGGGCCCCCCCCCCGTCTGGACCCTGCGGCGGAGAGAGAGGGTGTGTGTTTTTTTTTTTTTTGTCCGTCCCTGGACGTCTCCTCCACCCTCCTCCTCCTCCTCCTCCCTCCTCCTCCTCCTCCTCCTCCTCCTCCTCCTCCCTCCTCCTCCTCCTCCTCCTCCTCCTCCTCCTCCCTCCTCCTCCTCCTCCTCCTCCCCTCCTCCTCCTCCTCCTCCTCCTCCTCCTCCTCCTCCTCCTCCTCCTCCTCCTCCATCCTCCTCCTCCTCCTCCTCCTCCCTCTCCTCCTCCTCTCTCCTCCTCCTCCTCCTCCTCCTCCTCCTCCTCCTCCTCCTCCTCCTCCTCCTCCTCCTCCTCCACCTCCTCCGCCTCCTCCGCCTCCGCCTCCTCCTCCTCCTCCTCCTCCTCCTCCTCCTCGCCCTCGGGCTCGGAGGGCCCGTCCCTGGGACCTCGCTGGGCCTCAAAGGGGCGCGGTGGGGTCCCGGGGCGTTGGAGAGCTCCAAGGGGGCGTTGCCCAATGGGGGGGGGTCACAAATGGGGGGGGTCACAAATGGGGGGGGTCACCAATGGGGGCGTTGGAGAGCTCCAATTGGACCTCATGGGCTGGAGAGCTCCAATTGGGGGCGTTGCCTAAGGGGGGGGGGGGGTCACAGATGGGGGGGGGGTCAGAAGAGGTGCCCTTTCGTGCCCCTTTCGGGCCCCTCTGGACCCCCAGGGGGCTCGTTTGAGGTACCGTTTGGGTACCTTTTCGGGCCACCCTCGCCACCCCCCCATTTATGACCCCCCCCCATTACGCAACGCCCAATCCAAGGGCCCCGTGCGGAGCGAGTCCAGGCGTCGGAGGGGTGAGCCAGGAAAGTCAGAGCAGCCAAGACCGCGAGGAAGCAGACGCGCCGAGTTCGATCCGTGCTCCCGGGCCTCGGGATGTTTTTGTTCGGCTGTTCCTGGGCAGTACACATGCGCAAGCATAACATAGGGGGCCACATGCGAACCCGACCCCTGCCCCTCACGGTTTTTCAGGGGGAGGGTGGGGTTCACTTCGCTCGGGAGCTCCCGAGCGAAGTGAACCCCACCCTCCCCCTCAGAAGTCGTGGGGGGCAGGGGTCCCGTTCGCATGTGGCCCCCTAGCTGATACCATTCCCGGAGGTCCGCGCGGATGCCTCGTGCTCGCGCTCTCCCCCACGTCCCCGGGCGCGCGCAGGTGGCGCCGGGGGGGGGGGGCGCCGCAAGAGGGGGGGTTCAGTGCCGTCCCAGGGAGTCCGCGCGGGCCTTTTGGCAGTTCGTTTCCCAAGCAGTGTTTGCACGTGAGGGCCCTTGCTTTCAGGAGGGGAAAAAACACACAGACACAATGAATCGTCGAGTCCCAGGAAAATGCAGGAAATATGGGAAGTGGCGGGGAGACAAAAAACTGGGAAGTATGGAAAATATTGGGAATCCTGTTATGTGTGTGTATTTTTTTATTTGTGTGTCCCAGGGCCCTTTCATGCTTATGCTACTCCAGGCCTCCTAAAAGGGGGTCGGAGCAGATGGGGTCGGAGGATCGCGCCGCATCGCCGGTGCATCGTCGATGCGGCTCGATGTGCAGCCCGATTTGCTTCACATCGACGTTGCCGATGCATCGCCGACGTCGACGGTGCATCGCCGGTGCATCGCCGATGCATCGCCGATGCGTCGTCGATGTATCGGCGATGCGGCGCGACCCTCCGACCCCATCTACTCCGACCCCATCTAGGAGGCCTCCAGCTACTTCAGGCATGCTTGCCGAGGCTTGCGGGCCTGCGCAAAACGGGGCTAGGATCGGGATAAATCGCTCCAGAGCGTTCCGGAGCGCTCTCAGAGCGTTCCGGAACGCTCTGGAGCGGCCGCGGCGCCCAATACATCCTCCAAACCCGCCGATTCTCAGAGATTTCGAGCTATCCCGACCCGATGTTGTCCCGATCTTCACGTCGTTTTACTGCGGCAAGTCACCGGTTGGCGGGCGCCCGGGGGGCGCCTCGTGGGCACCTCGTGCCTCGGTGGCTGTGCCGAGGCTTCGCGCCGAAGGCCCGCCCGTGGGCGCCTCGTGGGCGCCTCGTGGGCGCCTCGTGGGCGCCTCGCGGCGCTGCCGAGGCTCCGCGCCCGCGGGGCGCCCCCCGGGTGGGCGTCTCGCTGGCGCCTCGCGGGCGCCTCGTGCGCCTGGGCGGGCTGCCCGCACCGCATAGACTACACACCCACAGTGCAATCGATTGCTGTCTGTGGGCCCCAGGCTAGGAAACAGGCTGACACAGGTATTGGCTCTGCTAGGCCGCCCTGGTCCTCTGGGTGGCCAGCCGACCCCAGCGGTTCCCGACCTCTGGGGCGCTCTCGGTGCCATGGGCCTCCCCCCGGACCAGCTGCTGCTGTACGCGGAGAATTTCTACAGGCGCTTTCCCGAGGAGTTCCTCGCCCTGGGGGCTCCGGGGCTCGAGGACATCTATGATCTCAGGTCTCGGGGATCGCAAGCCCCTGTGCTCCGACGCGCCGCAAAAGTTGCACCGTGGTTCGAAGGAGGGAGGGATACCGATACCGCTGCTCTCCTGGAGGGCCCTGTTCGTCCCGTTTGGATTCTCCTCGGAATGCCGATCAGAATGTACCCCGGGAGAGGCATGGGGAGTAACGGTATCAGTATCTTCCTGTTCCCCCAATATGGAGGGAAAGCACGACCCGAGCCTCAGACCTTTGCATTGTGCGGCATTCTCCGAGCAGGATCGATCTTCGAGGGCCCCAGGGCTTAATCATGGCCACAACGCCAGGCGTGCAACAGATGCGACTCCCGGGTCTCAGGGACCACACGTCCACCATTGCTGTCCAGGCTCGCCTGGGCCCCCGGATTGGTGTTATAGGCCTGTCCAGGCACAGCTGGCGGGGGCCACGACAAATCGCACACCGAGCTTGGGCCAAGGATGGGACCGGCCAGCCCTGGTATCGCTTCTTTGCTGGCTCCCTCCTGTGAGGCTGCACGGGACCAGGTGCCGGAGGATCGTCGAGACCCCCTCGGAGAGGATCGTGGAGATCGCCATCCGCCGCTGGGCCCACACGCTCGTGCCAGCGGGGCCCGCCTACGCGCACTCGCCCTTCGCCGGGCACCAGGGCTGCCCCCACGCGCCCGCCTCCTACGGCCACCCGGGCTGCGCCGCCTACCCGCAGCACCCAGCCTGCGCGGGCGGCCTCGCCGCGCCCAGCAGCGCGGTGGCGGAGGGGCTCGGCGCGGCCGCGCCCTTCGCGCAGGCCGGCGCGGCGGGGCCGGGCGACGGCCACCAGCGCCACGGGGCCGGCCCGCCGCAGCAGCCGGGCCACTGGGCGCTCGACGCCGCGGCCTCGGCGCAGCTCTCGCGGCTGGAGGCGGCGGTGCAGCTGCTGCAGCCGCAGCTGGACATGCTCGTGGGCCAGGTGGGCGAGCCCAGGGCGCAGCCGGGGGCACAGGCAGCGGAGTCGGCGGCGTCGCCGTCGCCGGACTCGGCAGCGGGGGCGGAGCCCGGCGAGGCCGCGAACAGCATGCGGCTGCGGCGGCAGCTGGGCCAGCTCCACATCAACTCGAGCAGGCCGGCGCCGAGCTCCCAGGCGGTGGTGGAGCTGCAGGCCCAGGGGCCCGTCCATCCGGTGCCCGAGCGCGCGGAGGAGAAGGGCGCCGCGGCGAGGCCTCGGGCCGAGCCGGCCGTCGACGTGACCGCCGCGCCCGAGTCCCACGGCAGCAGGGCGCCCCGCCCAGCCAACGTGAGGCCCATGAGGCTCGCGCGCGACGCCGAAGATCCCGAGAGCCCCCGGAGTCCTGGGAGGTTCTCCGCGTGGAAGTGATCTGGGCCTCCCAACGGTAGTCCGAGCAGGTGGGGTCGAAGGATCGCTCCGCATCGCCGATGCACCGAGGATGCGCTTCTCGAGCTCGGCGTGGAGCCAGGAGTTCTCCACGGCGATGGCGCCGATGCTCAAGCAGGGGCGAAGCGTCCTGGCTTGCCTGTATGCCCACCAAGGAATGTTCTAAGAACCTTTTGTGGTCTGCGCGAAATGTTATTTGAACAGTTCTGGCTGGGACTGTCTTGTCTTAACACTTCGGGTGTATGTTCCAAGAGCATTGTTTCTGTTCGTGGAACACTTCTGGGTGCAAAGAATATGTCGTGGTAGGCCTCCAGGAATGCTGGGACGGTCGGCCCCTGCTCAAGATGCAACGTCGACGTCGCCGATGCATCGGTGATGCATCGGTGATGCGGCGCGATCCTCCGAACCCACTTGCTCGGAGCCCAGTTAGGAGCCCTCTCAGTGACTGCCGAGTGGCAGGGGCCGCCGCACGGGCCCGCGGCGGGCGGCCGAGCGAGCGGGCCCCTGCTCGCCCCGGCGGCGCGGCTGCTGCCCCCGACTGAGCGGGTGCGCACGGCCACAGCCGCGACGGGAGGCCTCCGCCTCCTTCTCCTCCCCTTCCTCCTCCTCCTCCTCCTCCGCCTCCTCCTCCTCCTCCCTGTCCTCTCCCTCCTCCTCCTCCTCCTCCTCCTCCTCCTCCTCCTCCTCCCTCCTTCTCCCTCCTTCTCCCTCCTCCTACTCCTCCTCCTCCTCCTCCTCCTCCTCCTCTTCCCGATGCATCGGGGCGTTCGTCTGACCGCTCCACATATAGGCCCGGGGCTAACATTTTGTAATGACAGCCGAGACCTTGTCTCTTCCCTCAGGGGGGAAACCAGCTCTTAGTCTCTTGAGGGCCTTGACCCCGTGCACCATAGGCTTTCTGCAAGGGGAGGAAAGAGACTTCAACTGCTTTGAGGAGTACGCCCCACATCTCATACAAGCAGCTGCGGGATTCCTCGGGTGCCATATGTGGCACGGTGTCCCAGGCAACCAACCTATGCGGAGCCTCCCCGCCAGCCTCGAGAACCCTCGAGTCCTCAACAACACGCACAGCAATGGATCTTGCGCGTTCGCTTCGCGCAGGCTGCAACACTCGGCATAGACGGCGCCAGCGGCTTCCGTCGAGGCCATACCAATCATGCTCGCTAATCGCTCGCACGGGCCGAATCGGGCCAAACGCACGCGGCCGAATCGGTGTCGCCGAGTGCCGAGTCGCCACACAGTCGAGACTATCCATCGCAGCCCCGACGGTGCCGACCCAGTGCGCCACACGCTCAATAAGCGCGTGAGACTTGAACCTGAGAAGTCTGACTTAACTCGGAACTCTGAAACTGGCGGCAGCTCGCTTGGCCCACAGATCGGCGTGGCTATTGCCAAACCTGTCCGACCTGGAAATCCGCCCCGCGACGACAGCTTCCGCGGACAGATGCGCTTTTACCTTGCGCGCCACCAAGCCGCTCTCGACGAGAACTCCAAACTTCTCCAGGAGAGACCAGAAGCGACGCCAGAGGCGCGCCCAAGCACTGCCAAACGCAGTGGTGCGCTCAGGACCTCTGACGCATCCTCCATCATACACAAATGCACTGTCGGTGATGCCCTCAATCGGAGGGACAGCTACCTTCAACAACTGCACCAGCGCGGTCAGCTCCGCACCCTCCACGTCCCTGGCGGGCCCATCGCACGCGCCCTTCGCAGCGTCCAAGACCTCGAGAGGGTCAGACGCCATCGTAACAATCGCCCATCCCGCGGCCAACCCCTCCGCCCAGCCCCCCTTCAAAGACCGATCCTGCGAGGTGGGCGCACGGGGTCTGGATCGCGCCAAGGTCCGAGTGGCGGTGCCGGACGATCTGCTGATTAGCAGGCGGCCTCCACCCTTCAGGCAACTTAGCACGAGCCCAATGACATCTTTCAAGCAAGGTCTTGGCACTGAGTCGTCCGCCCTGTTTGTCAAAACTCCAGACTCATCAGGCACAGGCGGGCGCCCAGTGGCATCCAAGGAAATGCCGATGAAGCACGCGCCCTCGGAAACGCACAACACACGCGCAGCGTCGGCAGAGAAGCCAGCGACGCACTTCCTCGCCATCGGCCACTGCCCACTGACGATGGCCGATCGGAGGTATCCTCTCTGCGTTTCGTCAGTGGCGGTAGCTCTTTGCACTCACTAGATCGGCACCTCCCTGTGCCCATCAGAGACGCTAGTGGCCCCAAGTCCTCCTCCTCCTCCTCCTCCTCCTCCTCCTCCTCCTCCTCCTCCTCCTCCTCCTCCCCCTCCCCTCCCCCTCCTCCTCCTCTCTCCTCCTCCTCTTCCTCCTCCTCCTCCCTCCTCCTCCTCCTCCTCCTCCCCTCCTCCTCCTCCTCCTCCTCCTCCTCCTCCTCCTCCTCCTCCTCCTCTCCGCCTCCTCCTCCTCCGCCTTCTCCTCTTCCGCCCCCGCCTCCTCCTCCTCCTCCGCCTCCTCGGCGGGCTGGGGGGCGGCCGGTTATCCACACTGGCGAAAGGGTGTGGGTTGCGCACGGACAGACTCCCCCTTTGCTCGGAGTCCCAGCTGACCTCGGCAGGCACCCCGAGCTAGCCTTAAATCGGGCTATTGAAGATTACCCCAGTGCGACCCTACCTAGAAGTTGGAGCCCCTAGGAAAGCAGCATTAGTTGCTATACTATGCCATGCCATGCCATGCTATGCTGCGCTATGCTATGCTATGCTATGCTATGCTGCGCGATGCTATGCTGTGCTGTGCTATGCTGAGCTATGCTATGTTATGATGCGCTGTGCTATGCTAAGATATGCTATGCTATGCTAAGCTGCGCTATGCTATGTTCTGCTATCCTAGGCTATGCTATGCTATGCTATGCTATGCTGCTCTATGCGATGCTATGCTATGCTATGATTGACTGTGTTAGGCTATGATATGCTATGCTAATGCAGCGCTGCGAAGCTAAGATGAAGGTAAGCTAAGCTAAGACAAACCTGAGCTAAGATGGAGCTAAGCTAAGCTAAGATGCAATAAGCTAAGCTAATATGAGATAAGCGGCGCTAAGCTAAGGGGATGTAACTGGGGGAACCGCGGGGCGGATACTGGGGGACTCGCCCGGGGCGCTTTCCACTGCCCGGCCCTTTAAGCCCAGAGAGTAAGAACCCTTCTAGGCAGAGCCTAGGCAGGGAAATTGTAAAAAATGGTCTGGGGACGATTGTTAACTGTTTGGAATACTTGTTCCAATTAAAATGTTTATGGTTCTTTCCTCCACACTCCGCCTGTACGGGGACATGCCCGACCTAAACGCAGTCCCAGCTGGCCTCAACAGGCCCCCCCGAGCAGTCCTCGGCGGCCTCAGCACCTCAGGCCTGGGGCGCGGAGCGCCCCAGGGGCTCTGCCGGATGCGGCGCCCAAGGAACTACCCGGGGGGCTGTCTGTGCGCAGCCCGAGGCCTGACCAATCCATACCGACATCCGCCAGCCCAGGATCGGCGGATGCGCCATCCCCGTGCCCAGGGCTGGTTTGGGCCGGTTCGGTCGGTCGTTTTTACCGTGGACCCCTTGCGCATTTTTCATGCTTGGCAGACCGACTGCTCGCACTTGTGTGGGGGGACGCTTGCCGCGCGTTGCAGGAAAATCGTCCCTCTTCACCAGACCTGGTCTTGGGGCAAGCTGTGGCTCACAGCTAGAAGCACCCCGCGACAGAAAGTCAAGCCTCACCTGCCAATCGCTTTCGACAGCATGGATTGGCGACCAGAGGCAGTTAGTTGTCCAAGGGCAGTTTCGCGTGCACATGCCACTCGCTCGCTCGCTGGTTGTGGCCCTCGCTCCCGCTGCCTATCCTGCTCTCTGGCTGAGCGGCGGGGCGCTCCGCAGGCAGGAGGAGGAGCAGTGCAAACTCAAGACTCGTAGGCCCCCACAAGGGCTCATTTCCACAAAGGGAATCGCCCCGTAGATGGACAACTGTTTGAAAGTCCTGGAGCGTGCCAGAACACCATTGTCAGGAGTCCAACGCCACGAGTGAGCTTGACTGGCACGTCTTGGCGATCCTGACTCGTGCCAGAACACCACCCCTGAATCGTGCCAGAATCGGCGGCATTACGGAGCAGCGTCACTGTTGCGCCCTGACAATCCTGACTCGTTCCACAACACCGTTTCTGGCTCTATTGCTCAAAACGACTTTGCGCGGCGCCGTGGCGAGAGCCACCTTTTGAACACAAGCCGCCCTAGAACCGTGAAAGTCTTGCACATGTTGTGCAACGAATGTGTGCGGCGCTAAGGCGAAAGCCACATGTCGACAGCGGCCCGCCCAAAATCTGCGAAACTATTGACAATTGTTTAAGTCGAGCGTGCGTGGCGCCAAGGCGGGAGCCACGTTTTGGGAGCGGCCCGCCTTCCGTCCGTGAAACCGAATCCAACTTCTAAGCTTGGGGGAGGAGGATGATGATGATGATGATGATGATGAGGAGGAGGAGGAGGAGGAGGAGGAGGAGGAGGAGGGGGAGGGGGGGGGGAGGGGGAGGGGGAGGGGGACAAACTAGGTGCGCTCGCGTCAT